CTTTGTTGTGAACTAGGAATTAAATTATGATTTCCTTTGTGACTTGAATAAGCTACTTAATTCTCTGAGCTTAAGTAATTGGAAATGTGGTAGAAGATTAACAAGAATAAGATAAGATGAGCGTGTTTTAGAAGAAAGTTGGTAAGGCTCAATGTGGTGAATTTTAGTGTTACTGGATTTCAGCATTCAGATATGCAGGGAGGGAAGCATGGGCTTCCTTAGGAAGAATCATATTTGATTGGCGGGATGACCTGGGAGGAGTTGTTGAGATAAGTTTAGACAGTTAAGTTGGGGCCCTATGGTGCAGGGCCTTATTTACCTGACTGAGCGTTTTAGGTATAATTCCATGGATAACTGAAAGTCTTTAAATGTTTTTGAGGAAGAGAATGTATAGAATTGTCCTTTCAGAAATGTGAATTTTGATGGCAGCAGAGCAGAGAGACTTAATAGTAAAATTCTGGCTTTCCTTTTGCCTATTAGTGAAAACCTTTTTTTTTCTTTTTTTAAACATGCCACTGTGTTTTTACTTAGTGTAGGTATTATTAAGCTCTTAATATTTCTTATCTTTTTCTGGCTGTTCATTTAATAGCACAGCTGAGGTTAAACGATCAAAGTTTTAATTGCATTCAGTAATTAGAATTTGGCAATATGAGTAGATCATAAAAAGAGAGGGAGTTGTTATAGAAAGAGGGAGAATGTTATTTTTTTTTTACTAATTATAGTAGCCCTGATTATAAGAAACTTATTCACCTGTGAAAATCAGTGTTTTTTCAAAAAATGTTTTAGCCTTAGAATTTGATAGCTACATGTAAGTATTGCTGATCAAAATTTTCTTTAACATTCTTAATTTTATTAGTCGTTTTTACTTTCTAAATTTATACAAAGTCCAAGAAAGGAAGTATTGCAGCAGTAAAGAAAGAGTATGTAAATTCTCTGGATTACTCTCTGGATTCAAATCTCAGGTCCATCCCTTTCAATTTTGTGACTCTGGGCAAGTTACTTAGCCTTTTTATGCCTCTCTGTCCTCATCTGTGAAAAGAGGGTAACAGCAGTATCCACTTGGTGGGATGGGTTTGAGTATCATAAAACTATCTGAATTACCTGTGCCTGGCCAGCATTAGTGTCTATATAAATGTATAATCGTGAAGTAGAAGCAATTCATCAGTAAAATATTTCAGATAATTGCGGGGTGTTTGCTGGTTGACAATATCTTGTTTCAGGATATAAGAGCAAATACGAATTTGCAACAGGTGCAAATTCTTATCCAGAAAGTGCATGACCCTCAGGAGTTAGAGCTGTTTAAATCCTGGCCGGCCCCGCCTCCTAGCTCTGAGACTCAGGGTAGGGCAAGTTCCTTCTCTTTCTTTCTCTTGCCCCTCCCACCCAATGTTTGAGGTGTATACTGTTATTATCTTTATTTTATAAATGAGGGAAATGAGGAACAGAAAGGCTAAGTAATAAGTTTCTCTGGGTTGCACAGTTGTAAGTGCTCTGGACCCAAGCAGTTTGCTTCCTGGGTCAGAGGTTGCTTTAGCAGGAGTTTGAGCAACTGTCCTCTTCTTGAAGGCCAAATGGCAGTGACCTCTTCTGGATCTTTTCGGAAGTGCTTTTAGGAATGTAGTACTTGTTTTGTGATTCATTTTGGATTGAATCTCACTTTTGAAAATGTGAAGATTTTTTCCTCCTCCTCCTCTTCTTTTTTAAAAATTCAGTGAATATTAGAAATACCAATTTGTAAACTTTTTCACCTAGTCAGGTGCCAGGAGTATATTGGGTTGACCAAAAAGTCCATTGTTTTTTCCATTAAAAAAAAGACACATTTTTCATTTTCACCAGTAACTTTAGTGATTTGGGTACTTTGAGTATGTCGGCTGTCTTCCACGTGGTATAACATTGGTTGTTCTCAATATCTTGATTTGTTTACTATCAACTTCAACTGATCCACCCAACCATGGAGCGTCATCCAGCAAGAAATCGTCACCACGAAACCTCACAAACCACTTTTGACACATTTGATCAGTCACAGCACCTTTTTCATATACTGTTTGAATCTTTTTTGCATTTAAGTTGTTTTTACCTTTCTTGAAATAATAAAGCATAATATACTGAAAATGTGTGTTTTTTCCATCTTCAGTATTAGAATGGCTACACAAAAATTAACCGATTTTGATTTTTTTAAAATATGTGCTGATATGACAGCTGTCACTATATAATCTAACAAAATTTGTTACAAAGAATGAAGTTAAAGACAACTAAACACTAGTGGAGCCATCTTATGGAAAAAAATGAAGTTTTTGGCCAACCTAGTAGTTTTCACTATAAGAGAGACTTTGTATTACGTAAGAGTAAAGCTACATTTAAAATTACATTAAATTTTTGACGTAATTTTAGATATAGTTTGTTTTCCATTTAATTTTAACAGTAACATATTTCTAGTTCACTTTCCAAGTAGACTGGCCTCTTAATTAATGGCTTGAAGTCTAAGACAACCATTTTAGGATCTCTTACCTTTATTTAGGTGTGGCAACTGTGTGATTATTTGGTTCTGCTCTTTGACCCTTAGGCCTCAAGTTTTATACAAGATTAGAATTCATTATCATAGCTGAAAGGAATTTTTATATTTTCTCACTTTACAAATAAACTTTATAAATTAACTAAGGTCACGTAGCAAGTGATCTTTAAAAAGTGTACACATGTGTACACTTTACAAAATCTCATAAGGCATTATGTCTTACTGGTTTGGACGAGTATCCCATCCAGCCTATTTATTGTTCTAGGTTATTGGAGACCTTATAATATCACGGGTTTCCTTTTACCACCTCATCTAAGAATTCTTTAGGTATGACATTATTCCTGGTAGGGATTTATACAATATTTGCATGACATTGTAAATTTTCCTCTCCATCAAAGGAACTAGAATACTCTTGGAAGTCAAGTCCATGTTCATGATAGCCACATCTCTTTGATTTTTTCTATTGATCAGCCTTGTCTGGCTTCTCCTTCCACACAGGAGTCTCCAAATTTATTATGATTTCTCCACTAAAGGAATAACTTCCTGTCACCTCTCAGGCTATTTCAAATTACCTTTTTGCTAGAAGTCTTTCCCTAGTATAAACCATGGAAGATCTTTAGCTCAGGATATCCCAGCTGTAGGTATAAAATGACATTGTAAAGGTTGATATACCAATATACAGTGTGAGGCAGAAGTAGGTTTACAGTTTTACAGTTTGTATAGAAAATAATACAGTAATTAATAGTACAAGAATAAACTGTGTTGTGTACTTGCAACTGTAAACCTACTTTTCCCCCACTCTGTGTAGTGTGTTAGTTGGCTTGGGCTGCCATACCAAATACCAAGGATTCAGTTGCTTTAACAACAGAAATTGATTTTTCACAATTGTGGAGGTTGAGAAGTCTGAGATCAAGGTGCCAGCTGGGTAGGTTTCCTTCTGAGGCCTCTTCTGTCGGGTTCCAGGTGGCTGTCCTCTCACTGTGTGCGCACATGATTTTCATGCACATGATTTTCATACACATGAGCGTGCAGAAGAATGGGAGAGACACAAAGGGAGAGTGGGAAGGGTGTTGTCACACAGGCATGAGAAAGATCTCTGGTGTCTCTTATAAGGCCACTAACTCTGTCCTACTGTGGCCCCGCCCTCATGACCTCACGTAACCCTAGTTACCTCCCAAAGGCCCCATCACAGTGGAGGTTAGCGCTTCAACATAATTTGGGGGACACAAATAGCAAGTTCATAACATGTTGCATATACTGTGCTTAAGAAAATGGGCCCTGGAGTTGACTTGTGTGAGTCTTACTAGTTGTGTATCAAGTTCCTTAACTTCTGTCCTTCTTTTTTATAATCTGTTAAATGGGCACATTAAAAACAACACTTGTAGCAACAGGGTTCTAAGGAGGAAAAGGAGTCCTTGCATGTAAAGCACTTACAGTGACAAGTAGCCCTCAGTGTTAATTTTAAACAAAATAAGGCTGGTGATAATAATGACCTTCCTGATGATAATCAGTGTTTTCTTTGTAATTTGGACAATGCTGTATGGGTTGAGGTTGTCAAAGAATGGCATATTTTTGGACCATAAAATGCACCCATGTTTTAGAGGAGGAAAATAGGAAAGAGTTTTTGAAGCAAAAAATGTGGTAAAATATTTAATAACATAAGTACACCAATGTAAATGTAAACAGAACTCTACAACAGCATTTAACAGCACTTATAGGGTTATTAACATCTTAATAGTCCGAAAAATACGGTAGTGTACAATGACTCTTAGAATCTTTTCTTTTAAGGGTAGACAATCTGGAGTAAGAAAATGTATTGTTCTCTGAAAGTTCTTCTGAACTGAACATATGCCAATAAAAATAAGGTTAAGCAAATATAGTTACTAATTTTATTCAAATGCATCTTTAAAATTTTGGCTTCATTAGGACATGATAATTTAAACTTATAACAGTGAGTAAAAGCTTTGGATGTGGTATGTTAAATAAGAATGGTATATTAAATCCATTTTGATTCATGAAGTTTCTTTAACATAAACATGTTATTGCCCCTTGAAAAATGATAAGTTCCATGGATATCATTTAATCAGCTTTATAATATAGATGGTAATTTAATCTCAACTTTTAAAGACTTTATTTTTAGACAGAGGGGAGGGGAGGTAGAGAAATATCAATGTGTGGATGCCTCTTACGTGCCCCCCCTACTGGGGGGCCTGGCCCCCAACCCAGGCATGTACCCCGACTGGGAATGGAACCAGCGACCCTTTGGTTTGTGGGCCAGCAGTCAATCCACTGGGCCACACCAGCCAGAGCATGAATTAATGGTATTACTAATGCTACTCCTTTTTCCTTTCCATCTTGGCTGTTTCTCTGTAGGTGAAGTTTTGTGTTAACTCATTATAAACTGAACCCTTGCTTGCTCCTCTTTTCTTTAGTCTCCTTCGAACTCTGTCTTGATTTCTGCTGAGGTTATATTCTATTTGTTTTTCAGATGAGACACTTTTTGCTCTTCCTGCTGCATCTGAGCCTGTGATACACTCCTCTGCAGGCAAGTTCTTTCTGCTAGCCTTGTATCCTCTGTGTATTCTAACTTTACCTCTCTAGTTTTGTTAACTCTGTACAGAGTAGTTTGAATTTACTAAAAAGTAGCATGGTTCCAGTAATGTCTATTGAAAAAGTTGAAATTTAATTTTATATGCTATGTCTAAGGGAGAAATGGGCAGAACCTGATGAATAATTGGGAATATGTAAGGAATTCTTGGGCCCTTGATTGACATTTACGTAGTGACTATTCCATTTCTCCAAATAAAATTTACTCGCTCTTACAGCTGAAAGGCTTTCATGTGACTGAATGTCACTGTGTGGCATTTAATTCTCCAATGCCCTTTCTTTTCTATACTGTCAAACTATCTTCTGAAATCCTTTTTTTTTCTTCTAAAATGAGATAACAGCTTTTTTGGTGATTATACTTGAGGTTTTTCTCAAAAACTTGATTTATGTTTTTGCATAGCATATAATTTTGTAGCCATACACAGGCTTTATTGACAATAGCTTTAACTTTTAGTAATGATTTCAGCCTACTTGTTTTCTGTTCATTAGATATTACATTTAATTTTAGTTAATAGTAAGTCTTTACTAACACTATTTTGAATCTGCAATAAAACTTGCATTACCTCTGAGAACACTGGCATTCTCTAACTTTCCTTTCTGTCCATGGTCACAGAAAAAATTATGGACTTGAAGGAGCAGCCAGGTAACACTGTTTCCGCTGGTCAAGAGGATTTCCCATCTGTCCTGCTTGAATCTGCTGCTCCTCTTCCTTCTCTGTCTCCCCTCTCCACTGCTTCTTTTAAAGAACATGAATACCTTGGTAATTTACCAGCAGGATTATCCACCAAAAGAACAATTCAAGAAACTTCAAAGGAAGCTTCTAAAGAGTTCCCAGAAAAGGCAAAAAATCCATTTGTAGACAAAGATTTCACAGAGTTTTCAGAATTGGAATACTCAGTAATGGAATCATCGTTCAGTGCCTCTCCAAAAGCAGAACCTGCCACCACGGTAGCAAACCCTAGGGAAGAAATAATTGTGAAGAATAAAGATGAAGAGGCGGATTTAGTTAGTAATAACATCCTCCGTAAGCAACAAGAGTCACCTATAGCTCTTACTAACTTCGTTAAAGAAGAGAACAAAATTGTGTCTCCAGAAAAAACAAAGGACAGTTTTAATGAAAAGGGACTTGCAGCAGGGGCTCATTTGAGAGAGGAGTATGCAGACTTCAAACCCTTTGAGCAGGCCTGGGGAGTGAAAGGTGCTAATAAGCAATATAGTGATGCGCTGGCTACTGCAGATGAGATAGAGAGCAAGTTGGAGAGTAAAGTGGATAAGAAGCGTTTTGGTGACAGTGTTGACCAACCACATCGTGAAAGAGATAGTGAGAGCAGCAATGATGATACTTCTTTTCCCAGTACACCTGAAGCCGTGAAGGATGGTTCAGGAGCATACATCACGTGTGCCCCCTTCAACCCAACAGCAACCGAAAGCATTTCAACAAACATTTTTCCTATGTTGGAAGACCATACTTCAGAAAATAAGACAGATGAAAAAAAAATAGAAGAAAAGAAGGCCCAGATTGGAACAGAGAAGAATAGTGGTGCCAAGTCATTAAACCCTTTCCTGATAGCAACTCAGGGTTCTGAGGCAGATTATGTCACAAGAGATGATTTATCGAAGGTGCCTGGGGAGGTGGTGGCAAGCATGCCTGAAGGTCTGACCCCAGACTTAGTACAGGGAGCATGTGAAAGCGAATTGAATGAAGCTACAGGTACAAAGATCGCTTTTGAAACAAAAATGGACTTGGTTCAAACATCAGAAGCTGTGCAGGAGTCACTGTACCCTGTAGCACAGCTTTGCCCAACATTCGAAGAATCCGAAGCTACTCCTTCACCGGTTTTGCCTGACATTGTTATGGAAGCACCGGTGAATTCTGTAGTTCCTGCTGCTGGTGCTTCTGCAGTGCAGCCCAGCTCCTCACCATTAGAAGCTCCTCTTTCAGTTAATTATGAAAGCGTAAAACTTGAGCCCGAAAATCCACCACCATATGAAGAGGCCATGAATGTGTCCCTGAAAATCAAGAAAGTATCAGGAACAAAGGAAGAAGTTAAAGAGCCCGAAAGTATTACTGTAGGTGTTCAAGAAACAGAAGCTCCTTATATATCGATTGCATGTGATCTAATTAAAGGAACAAAGGTCTCTACTGAAACGACCGCAGATTTCTCTAACCATTCAGAAATAGCAAAGGCTGCACAGCCGGGTCCTGACCATTCTGAGCCAGGTGAAGATTCCTCACCTGATTCTGAGCCAGTTGACTTATTTAGTGATGATTCAATACCTGAAGTTCCACAAAAACAAGATGAAGCTGTGATACTTGTAAAGGAAAATCTCATTGAAACTGCACCTGAGTTAATGTTAGAACAGGCAAATAAGGAAAAACTCAGTGCTTCACCACCACCCCCTAAGGGGGGAAAGCCGTATTTGGAATCCTTTCAGCCTAATTTAGATGCCACAAAAGGTACCTCATCACCTGGTGAAGTTCCAACATTGACCCAAAAGGAGAAAACTCCTTTGCAGATGGAGGAGCTCAGTACTGCAGTTTCTTCAAATGATGGCTTATTTATTGCTCAGGAAGCAAAAATAAGAGAGAGTGAAACATTTTCAGATTCGTCTCCAATTGAGATCATAGACGAGTTCCCCACATTTGTCAGTTCTAGAACTGATTCCTCTAAGTTAGTGAGGGAATACACTGACCTAGAAGTGGCCCACGAAGGTGAGACTGCGAACGCCGAGGGTGGAGCTGGGCCATTGCCTTGCTCAGAATTACCGCGCGACCTTTTTTTCAAGAATGTACAACGTAAAGGTGAAGATGAAGCCCATGTCCCAGATGAAGTCTCCAAAGATAGGTCTGATATCTCAAAGGTACCCTTGCTGCCTCCAGCGGTTCCTGCTTTGGCCACTCAAACAGAGATAGGCGATGTGGTTAAACCCAAAGTTCTTGTGAAAGAAGCTGAGAAAAAACTTCCTTCGGGTACAGAAAAAGAGAACAGATCACCATCTGCTATATTTTCAGCAGAGCTGAGTAAAACTTCAGGTAATCAGTCCACACATTGTTTTGTGCTTTCTTTCCACCTTCTGACTTCCCATGGAACATTCCACTACATTTGGTGTAGTATGTTACATTCATGATGTCCAGTGCATCCTATTAAGGATATTTTTCTACTGTCTCATTAAAGGTCTCGGTGCTTTTCCTACCCCTCTTGCATTCATCATTCATCCTTGCTCTTAACTTTTCCACACAATTATTCGTTGTTCATTTCTATATTGTCAGGGAACCAGAAAAAAACTTTTGTTCGAATTGGCTTCAGTGTTATTTCTTTTGCTTCAGTGTTTTCTGATGGCACGAAGAGCAAGAGGTATTAAGACAAAATATTTGCAGGTGCATTTACTTTTGTTTTCCCAGAATTAATTCTTCTTAAATTTTTAATAAAAGAACATTTCTATAACTTTTCTAATATTTCAGTATAATGCAGTATTTTTCAGTAACAGGTATAAGTTATGCATGCTGACTAGTACACATTTTGTTGGAAAGTATGAATTGAGGAACGCTATTATGAATTTTTCTGAAAAGTACCGATTCTCATGTGTTCCTTTGACTCTGCATCTCCCGTTACCTGAGTTGTGTAAAGTGACTTGCACGTGTCTTTTTTATTTAGCATTCTGATTTAGTTGTGTGAAACATGTAGTCATTATGTGTGTTTTACTGAATATACTTATGTATTGGAGATGGGTAGCATTACTGCCAGAGTCTCCAGTTTAGAAATTGTGGCCACAGTCTAAGAAAGAGGAGCTTTCGGACATTAAGGCAGTGGGATGAGCATGATGACCCAGGGCTTGGTGTTTGATTGGATGTGGACAGGAGAGGTAAGGGGAGGAGTTAAAGATGACTGTGCAAACACCTGGGCGGCAGTGTGAGAAACTGAGTTAGGGAACGTGAGACAATGAAGTGGGGGTTTTAAGGAGAGAAGATAAAAAAAATTAAATATGTTGGTGTTAAGGTGTCTAGGGAACATTCAAGAAGTGATAGATATTATACATTGAGAGCGACTTTGCTTGTATGTGTATATTTGCTATGGGCTCGGGGATAGTAATTAAAGCTACAGATCAACTAGGGGAAACCATGAGAAGAGGAAGATTTAAAGGTGGAAGGGTTGCTCAGCATCATCACATGTTAGCTCACTTACGGATTGATCATTTATCAAAAAGAAGGGAAGGTGTTGGCCTGACAGTGTGAGTGGGCAGCGCTAGATCCGAGGACCCAGTGGAATTTGAGAAAATGGAGGCTGAATGTTGATAATTTTAAGAAGTTTGAGAACGTGGAGAGGATTAGCAATGCAAGGGGGGCAGAATTATGGGGTTGAAGAGTGCCCCCCAATTTTTTAAAAAAAGAAATTGGAGTCTAATTCCATGTCCGATTGAAGGTGCATGTAGAGAGTCAGGAGGGGAGGGGTTGAGATCAAGAACTCAGGTGGAGGAATTAGCTTACAGAGGAGGGAGAATTTCGAAGGGCTTCGGTTGTAGTGAATAAAAGGAAAATGATGGGTGTTGATACAGCTAGTGTTTTGTAGCTGGGAGTTGAGGGCTTGTTGATGTTTTATTCTTTAAAGGTGTGTGGTAGGTCATTGCCAAGAAAGAACTGCACCGTCAATACCTTCTGAGCAGGGACACAGAGGTGTCGCAGGAAGAGCGTGGTCAAGGTCGGAGGATGGTCTGAGTGGCCCTGGCTTCAGAAAGGCAGCTGCTCGTACTGACTCAAGGATGTGTTCGGGCCCAGTGGAAAGACAGTGAGTGAAAGGAGGTGAAGATAATAGAACAGCGAGAGTAATTTGAAGTGATGGGTTTAATCTAAGTTGAAGAATGTAAAGAGGAAAGGATAAGGGGTTGGTAGATAATAGAATATCAAAGAATGTGAGGTCCAAATTATATTTATATATTATATATTAATAGATTAAAGAATGTGAGGTCTCTAAGAGCCAAGGGAAGTAGTAATAAATATGAATACCAGAATGAGAGGCGGCTGCAGTCAAAGTAGGATTGTGGGTGTGTTAGAGGTTGAATTTATAATTCCAGGTTGTTAATGGCCAGGATGTGGCCTTGAGGCAAGGGCTAAATCTGAGTGGTGTGAAGGTTGCTAGAGGTAAAGTCAGGTGAACCGTGAGGCCAAGATGCTGGACTGCCGTTACACAGGACGCTGAAATCACCTGGGATGATAGCAGGACTTGGGGTAGACAGGAGGATTAGGAGCTCAGACGAGAGACTTGGGTCGAGGGCTGCGAGGCAACTAGCAGGATGGTGGATGGAAGCAGTAAGGAAAGATAAGGAATGACATCGCTGAATAGCTGAGACTTGTGGCCGGGGCCTCAGAAATAGTGGTTTGGAAGCAGTATTTGTGAGCAAGAAGGTACTGACTTCCCTTCCTCCCTTCCTGGATGCAGGGTTTCAGAGAATAAAACCGTCTTTATTGGAGAGTTCCACACAGAAGGCCGCATCCTCAAGAAAGAAGAGCCAGGTTTCAGTGAAGGGAAGTAATGGAAGGAAGCGTTGAGTCAAGTTGAAGATTAGGGTAGATGGTTCACAGGGTAATGGAGGTTTCTAACGGCAAGATAAACTGGGTAGGGGGAAACAGTAAGAATCTGAGCTGCCCACGGCAGTGTGGTGAGGACAGTGGGGGCGAAGACCAGGGGTGAAAAGATGGGACTGAGACAGAGTCCTGCCCTCATGCAATTTCCAGTCAGTACAACACGTCAAAATACATGTTGATAGTTTTGGACAAAATTTATCATGACAAACTGTCAATAAGGGATCAAATTCTGCATCATAATATCTTGCCCATCTCCTTTACAAAACCAGTCTTTGTTCCCACAATTAAAATGGAAAAAAATAAAAATAGTACAAAGAATGTGCACTTCATCTAAATTTACTCTTTAACATTTTTCCCCATTTGCTTTAGCATTTATGATCTCATTCTGCAGATAATTAGATATGGGTACAGAAACACATCCATGTTTTTCCTGGACCATTTGAGAGTAAGTTATGTACCATTGTTTTATCCTAACTACAGGGCCCGGCACAAATAACACCCCTATTTTATGACAAAATCTTTTAGTACAAAGTCATAAACTTGTAGCTCTGTAACACAACAATACCACACTCAAGCACACCATATGAAATTTTAGGTGAAATGTTCAAGTCAAAACTATAAATTATTACACCCATATTATTACCCTACCAACCAGACTGAAGCAGGCATTACTTCTGCTGGACTCTATTTGAAAAGGGAATGGTGTTCTCTTACATATCCTCAGTCCAGCTTTTAACTTCGTAAGTTCACACTGATACAATCCTTTTTTTAAATCTACTATTTGTATTCTACTTGTGTTATGACCTCATAATGTCCTTTATAGTGTCCTCTACTGCAAAATCCAGTCTAGGGCCAAGTTGTACATTTAGTGGTCATGTTGCTTTTGGCTCCTTTAATCCTGAACAATTCTAGTTATTATCTCTTAGGACATGAACATTTTTGAAAAAGAGAAGCCCTTCTCCCTTTGCCTTTTTTTTAGATTTTATTTATTTATTTTTAGAGAGGGGAAGGGATGGAGAAAGAGGGAAACATCAGCGTGTGGTTGCTTCTCTTGCACCCCCTGCTGGGGACATGTCCTGCAACCCAGCATGTGAACCAGCGACTTTTTGGTTTGCAGGTGGGCACTCAATCCTCTGAGCCACACCAGCCAGGGCTCCCTCTACCTTTTTAATAGAATATTCCTCATTTTGCATTTGTCAAATGTTTCTTAGTGATTGGATTGAGGTTATGGGTTCATGGCCAAAATGAAGAGGATGTGTAATGTTCTCATGGTATTATATTTGGAGATACCCACTATCCATCAGTCCCTCATTGATGAGGTTAATAAGGTGGTCTCTGATTTCCTTATTGCATAATTAGGCTTTCTTCCTCCCTTACAACTTACATTCTGAGGGGTGATACTTGAAGACCACGCAAATATCCTGCTCCTCATTAAAATCCTGCCCCTGCCTTGCCAGATTTATATCCATTGATGATTCTCACTGGAGTCAATCTTCACCAGTAAGTCTGCAAAGTGATCACTTTTGAATTTTAACATTCCTGTACTTATCAATCAAGCCTTGGCATTTTACTGTTAATAAGAGTCCCCTTTCTCCATGAATGAATTAGTTAATTATCAGTCTATATCCATGGATTTCTATTTTATTCTCAGTGGTTTATATTTCATTACTTACGTTGGTTGTAAATTGTCCCAGATTTGGAGGATCCCTCTGCCAGTTGGCGCAGGGAGTGGAGCTGTCCCGTTTGGGGTGGAGAGGGAAGCACTTCTTACTTTTGTAAAGTGACGAAATGTAGGCGCATCTCATGCCCGTTCTGCCCCCAGACCTGGAATCAGCCGTGTCTTCGGAGATCCCTCCCTGATTCCTCCCAGTGGGGACGTCGTTAGAGATCAAGAGCAAGATCTAGTCGTGCTCCTCACTACTGTGTGGCCTTCCCATGTTAGCCCTCGAAGTGAACAGAGCTAGAAAATGCTTATGTACACTCATACATACAACGAAACATAAGCACATACACGTATTTATGAAATCACGAATGCTCACAGATACCTTCGGTCCCTTCCCAGAGAATTATTTCTTTCTCCCCTCATTTCATATTGGTATGTTCCTCCTATAGTGAAAACCCTGTTCCCAACACCACCGAAACACATGCTCATTTGCTTAATTCTTTAATACATCTAAAGCAGTTTTAGACCACTCTCAAATATCATTATAATAAACATAATAAAAGAATTCAGATCATTTTGCAAACCTCCGTCTTCCAACCTTGCCCAAGACTGAATGCACATCGTCAAATACAAGTTACTTGGATAAGTACCCCTTTTTTACTTTCTCCACCTTTAGTGTGGTTATGATATTCATTTGAAATACAGTTAGAATCATTTGTTTCTAAGATCAGAGCCTGGATTTTTATTTTACTGGGAAAGGGGAGACTGCCATTTATCTAAACCTAAGCAC